TCAACACATTTTTACGAACAAGTTATTTAGCTCTACTCACTATTTGAATCACATTTACATTTGTGACAATTTCGTAAACTCAAATCAATTAGTTTGTCATTTAAAGAAGTGTTTTGTATATTTTTCTACGTACCATAGTCGTACAAAAAAATCACAAAGAGAAGAAGGCAGAAGAAATTAACGCAGAGGCCTAGTTCGTCAGTTAATGACAGATGCATTCGTCATCAATAATTTACGAGTTGTTGCCGGTTATATATCCTCTTCTCGATCTCCTTAAGAATCGATCACATGCTTTACTATCCAGCAGTTATTTCAATAACATACTTAGTCAAGAATATTCAGCTATATTTTAACACATATTCCGTCTTCGATACAAGAACATAATAAGACTATGTGTTTATTTTGAAAGCATGACAGCAATCTTAAGCGAAGCTGAATATTCTCACGTTGAACCAGCTTTTTTGAATTAAAAAATGATTATTTTCTGATAATATAGTCTTATTATGTGTCAGATATTAATAGAAGTAAAAAAGGTTGAATTCGAAAAAAAACTTTTTATTCGACAAAAATATCCCTTACACACGAACACTCACTCTAAATTTTCGTCAAAAATTGTTTTATTTTTAAAACTAGCAAATCATACATCATTTGATGCAGTTTTTCGTCCTGACTTCAAATACGTATATATTGTCCGATCAGAAGTACTTCTGAACCAGGAAACGTGAATTTTAGTTCACAATTCCAGGTTTATTAGAAAACCGGTATCTAAGTCTAGAAGTAAAACCGCATACTTGGTAGAAGCAGGACATGTAGATGAATATTTTGGTGTAATTTCATGTCCGATACAGTCGAAGCAAGTCGATGCACTCGATTGCTTTGGAAATCTACGTCCGAAAACATTTTTTTCTGTAAAATTGCTGTTTTTATCAAGTTTCTGTAAGCCAAATTGAAACATTATCTTATCAGCAGATAGCCGACTATTTTTTGCCCAAGAATCTGTTGAAATCGACTCATTCAAAGAAAAAAAAGAGTTTTCTAAATAGAAGCTGAAACACAGGCCGTTTTTCGGTATTGAATTTTTCCTTCAAACTGAACATATAAAACAAAAACTTTTACACCATTAAATAGCTCGTTTATCAGATTATATATGACGATATTTAAATCGAAGAAAAGCGGACTTTCGATTTTTAGCTAAATGTTCGCCTGTACCCCAACCGTGCGCGGTTCATATAATTCTCGACTTTTCCCTACAGAAATTGCATTTATGAACAGTCATGTTTACTCTTCTCGTGAATATATACGAATTTATAGACCGCAAAGCGAATATATGCAAAGATGTGCTTGCCTATCACAATTATGGTTATGATGAGACCGTGACCATTGAAAGAAATAGCGGCAACTCAAAGCAAGAAAGATGATGAAAAAAAGTTTATCTTTGATTTAATAATTTATTTTTGCCTAAGAAAATATTTTCTGTTGAATTCTTTCGCTAATTTCAGGTTTAATAATTATTTTTTCTGCGACAAACACTTAACTACGAATGAAGATCGTGCACTACACTTGTTCTTGTGAAAAAACTGTGTAAAGATTTCGAGAAAAGTTTGTTGTGACCACTGTGACCGTAACTTCTGGAAATACTGACGTGAGTTCTTTCGCCAATTCTTATGGCTCATGGCACGATGTAACGAGCGGCACAGAATGAATGGTCGTCTCAGTGTTTTCTAATTTCCTCGTGTTTCTTTGAGACCCTGAGGTTAGTGTTTTTTTTAAAAAGATGCGCCCTGAAATACCCTACAAAACTTAAACTTTAATTTCAGAACTTCAATCAAGAAAACTATGCAAATTATACGAAAGACGAGAAAAATGACAACTTTTTAAAGTCAAAAACGATATCTTGTGTTAACGATTTTGAAAGTAAGGAAAATTGAATTAACCATTTTGTAGCACTGACTTCGCTCTATCTTTCAGCTACACTTCGAATTTTTTCACATCAAAACCCATGGAAAAATAATCATTTTTCTGTCGGTTATCACGCAGTTTTTCATTCATTTTTTTAATTCTGGATATAGCTGTGCTTTCAGTAAAACTTTCATAACTCCATCAAACCAAAAGCTTTTTCGATCAGATTTGTTTTTTTTTATTAGAAATGACCGCTCTTCTCCACCTAACTGCGAAATCACAACTTCGATCATGTCGTCCGTTTCTTGCTTGGGCACATTGCAGGAAACGCGGGGCTGTCCATTTTAACGTATTTTTATAACTTCGTTCTCCAGCACACCATCTGCTCCAAAAAAAAGTTTCTAAACAGAGAAAGAGCACATTCCAAAGTAGAAAAATAACTGCGTTCTCACTTTTGCTACACCTTTAGCACAGAAATAATAGCATAAGAGAAACGTTTATCTCGGTGTCTTGCATTTATAGCATATGCGGTTTTTTAACTAGACGGAGATATAGGTTTTCCAAAATACCCTGATTTTTAAGGTAAAGTTGAGTTTTCTTATTTCAAGACAACTTATACACATTCGGAATCAGCGCGAAAGACTACATCGAGTGGTGTATCACTTATTAGTTTTACAAATAAAAAATCGTGTGACAAAAATTCAGATCAAGCGACCCCTCAGAAATTTTTCATCCGAGAAGAAGTTTTTTTCGAATTTGATTTTTCTTATTTCTATTAAAATTTGACACATAATAAGACAGTATTATGCGAAAATAATCATTTTTTAACTCATAAAACCAGATGTCCGCCTGCTCTATGGGAAACGCACTGAACCTAGTTTTGCACAAGCAAAAGCGATTTTTAATAAAAATTTTGAAACCGATTTTTCAGCAAATCTTTGGAAAACCAGGATGGATTTCTCAAAACTGATATAGAAGTAGTAGTTCGTTTTTATAGATAGATAGTCTAAAGTGTCATCTCTAAAACAGAAACTAAGCGAACTCTTACTTTTTCGTGGTTGAAGCATAGCATCGGATTGCCTGAGAGTTCCAGGAACACTATTGTTTTAGATGTGGTAATTCTCGCACGCGGTAGATACCTATTTTTGGTCCTTGTTGTGCACCCTCGCGCGAACAGTTGCAAGTGATGCCAGAAAAGAAATTGTTCGTTATCACACTTTGACATGGTCAACATTCCCTGAAAGTTTGGTTCAGATCAGATCTACCTGGGCTGACGATCTTACTGATCTGACTGATCTTTCGTGAGACAGGTTTCTGATCCGGAGAGGTGGAAGCCTTAAGAGACTTGGTTGAGAAAGTTTTGCTGCTTGAGGAGCGTCATGGTCTCGAAAGCTTCTTGAGACTCGTCTTATTGTTTTATCTATGTAAGATACCTCAGAACTAGAGGTATCTTACATAACAGACAATTTGTGATAGTAGATCTTTCGGTGTAGGATCTTTTTGGCAGAAATACGTACAAACGGCTAGTGGAGGATGCGGAATAGGTTGAATATGTACTTGAGGACGAATCTGTTTAGCAAGATAAGGCATGCACCGATTTCGGTTAAAACTCGAATAATCCATGTTCGATTAATCGAAATCGAAAATAATCGACCTTCGATTATTCGATTTTTAATCGGAATTTTTGATGAAAAATTGCTTAATCGAAATTCGATTATTTTCATTTTCGAATAATCTACAATTAATAGAAGTTCGATTATTCGCAATCGGTGCGTGGGTAAGCAAGAGTAATGCTTTTCTTCCCGAGACTTTTAGTTTGCTTTCTCAAAAATGGAATGTCAATGAAAATTTGTTCGTTTTTGGTGATATCTTTCGTTAATTGATGGGTTTTAGTTGACCTCTATCTCATTTTGTTTCTCATAATATCTGTTTACAGGGTGACCGAAAATTACGCGATATTTTTTTTTGAAATTTCAAACAAATTTATTTTCAAAAAACAACATAATATTTAGTCAAAATGTCCGTCCTCTGCTTCGATCACTGCATCTAACCGCCTCATCCAATCGTCGATGGCTTTGTTGATAATCTCCTGGTCCAAGTTGTTGAAGGCATCTTCTATCGCTTGCTTCAACGAATCAACAGAATCATGCGCTTCTACAATTACCTCAGCCATAAGAATGCTCCAGAATTCTGTTCTGGCGCAGCTAATAAAAGAAACATTTTAAATGTAAAATGTATCTTTTTTGACCAAAGTTTTAACATTTACATATGTTGCTACAGGTCTATTCTTTTCGATCGTTCTTTCGAATTTTTCGATTGCCATTTTACCGTCACCATGAAGTTCAAGAGCGATTGGTTCGTCCGGCTGCTTGCTACTTGGTTGAGGTTAGAATGAAGCAAAAGGATGTTGCAGAAATCTTTGGAGTCCGACCTCATACCGTTTCTGGCGCCATCAAGCGCTACAAGGAGTCCGGGGAGCACAAGAATCGGAAGGGCCAAGGTCGCAAGCGAACTTCAACAGATGTGGCACACATCGAAGAGGCAAGAGAGCACTTGCGGCTGAGCAACCAGACAAAGAAAAGAAATGGCGTAACCGGCAACTCCGTGAGAAAAACATTTTGAATAAATATTATGTTCTTTTTTGAAAATAAATTTGTTTGAAATTTCAAAAAAAAAATATCGCGGAATTTGGGTCACCCTGTAGTGTGTTTCTTATCTCGCATTTGATGAAGTTTGACGAATATCCGTTTTCAGTTGAAACCTTCCCAATAAATTCAAAATCATTATTTTCCTTTTCCTTATATCTCTCTTTCTGCAATATTGACATTTTACATTGTACATCTAGAAAACTCTTTGTCGTCAAAATGGCAGTAAAACTGTCGAAACGTTGACAAATAAACATCTAAATGTCAAACAAACAAAAGTTCAAAGTTGCTGTTATGTAAACGAAATTTTTACTCAAATCGTTACCATAAACATCACAAATTACTTTCAATCTAATGGACGTTTTCCTATTCTTGAACCCCTTATGACAAATCAGCGTCATGTAGATGAAAGAAGGTGACTCACTCTCACATTTTCTTACAAAAAAAGTAAACGGTCTAGTTAATAATTGATGGTAGAAAATATGATGTTATTTTGAATATAACATTTGGAAACCAATGAATACCCGTTTGGTGAGTATCAGTTTTAGCTGATAAGGAGAGGTATCTAGATAGCGAATACCACCATCTCATTGGTGCAAGAATCGTATGAGCTAATCGATGACTGTTTATCGTTGCATAACATGATGCAGCAACATGATTGACAATAATTGTACCACTTTGAGTAAGTGGTGCTGCATAACCTTGTTTCCATACGTTAGTAATATTCGAAATAGACTCAACTTTCAACACATTTTCAGAATTAGCAACGTAAATTTCGATTCCCGTAGCATAGTATTTGAAAGACGTACGCGCTTTAACAGGTAGACCAGAAATAATGACGCACTTTTGTTCTCTTTTCTTCCGAGCACAACTGAGATTCGAAGATTCCATTTTAAACTCATTCGATAGAGAATTTTCTACTCTACAAAATCGTATAACGCACACTTTCACTGCGTTGTCTAACAGTCTTTTTCCTGCATTTTTCAAAATCCCACATTACCCAAAAGTACAGATTAACTTGTGCACTGAAAGCTTCACAATTTGGGTGACCAAACAAATAAGTAGCGTAGTCCGGATGATAGCGCTCAATCCGCTGAATATGTTTATATCACCTTTTTCGCTCAATTACCACATCATTTCTCGCAAAGTTACACAAAAACGAAAATCCACGATAATTTTGATAGGAAATCGCAGTTATACTTCTTACTTGTTAGTATTCTGCACTATCTTTTAAAATAACGAAATAATATGTAATGAAAGAAGGTAATGAATTTTGTAGAGCAGAAAATTCTCTATCGAATGAGTTTAGAATCTTCGAATCTCAGTTGTGTGCGGAAGAAAAGAGAACAAAAGTGCGTCATTATTTTTGGCCTACCCGTTATCTTATTATAAAATGATGTACAGTGGAAATAAGTGCGTATATGTTTTTTGTACAATACCTGGTGTTAAATCTTTTGCCATTAGATAACCATTTTGCTTTGTGGGTATCAAATGATTCAAAGATAGAGTTAGTTGATGACCATTAGATGTAACCAATGATTTAAAAAAACCTAAAATTACTATCCCATTACAAATGTTTAAAGTTAAACAAACCTACCAAATCTATGAGGTTCATTGTCAAGCATCCCAATGATAACTGTGCTAATAATATTTTGATTTATCTGATCAAAAGCATATACTTCATCTCCATGTTTTAGTTCAGTAACTAATTTTTGTTGACCGTTTGTTAGCCGAACACTACTATCAGCCGAAAAACATTTTTGTTCGCCAGTCTGTGCTTCTAAATAAATAAAAAGTTAGAATTTAAAAGTGTAATTATTATTTATTTTGTGAATTTTTCAAACCTCTTATATAGCAATTTCCAAGTGTACCACTATTATGAGCTGGACAACAGCTGATAGCCAAATAAGATATTTCATCAAGAACTCCATTTGTAATCTATAAACATGAACATATGTTTCAAAAGAAGGAGAGATATTACCACAACACTTACATGTTCGACAAGACATCCTCTCATATGAGGTTTTAAACATGCGCTTAACGAATTTGCTGTATAGCATAATACTCGTAAATCTTTAAAGCAAAGAGTGAGAACGTGATAGGAAAATTTATTTTGACATTACCTTTCGTAAATACAGCTTCAAATGCTGTAGCTATATTAGCAAGACAAACAATAATTCCAGTTGGATTATCTTCTAAATTACATTTTCCATATGTTTTAGATATAAATAACAAAAATAAAACCAACATTCCTCTCAACATCTGAAATATTTCTCTAAGAAACAAAATATTAGTAAGATTCACGACTTTTTGATATACGTTTTTTTCTTCCGAATACAAACGAAAAATATTCCCTTGTAGTATTCTAAACTAAAACTATCGAAAAGCATCAAATCAATTTTGCATCAATAGTCAATAGAGATTCGAACACAGGAAAATCGGATCAAGTTACCAGGTTACTGTGGTGAAGTAATTTGATCGTTTCGATTGCAAATATTTCACTAAGTACCAGAAAGAGTATATTTCTATAAAAAAACGTGCTACTTACTAATTTATCTATGTTTAGGGAAATCTAGTCTGTAATACAGAAAAAAAGAATAATAGTTGAAATAAATCTTTGATCGCATACATGTTTATAAGCTACAGATCTTTTTTTTGACAGTTCACCGATCAAAGCTACCGACTGTAGGCATGCACCGGTTATTTTATCGACGCTTTCGGGAGTAGTAGTTTTTAACAATCGGCGAAACTTTTTAAAATATTTTCTAGTGTGTACAAAGGTTTGCTCTACCAAATAAGACGTCGCAGACTTTCTCACGATGGTTCGTCGATGAGATACAAAGTCTTTACTTGAAAGACGGACCGGTTATAACGAAGTCCTATATTAGAGAAAAAGATTCATATCTCATTGACGAACCACCGTGAGAAACGTTGCAATGTTTTATTTGGTAGAACAAACGTTTGTGTACAAAACGGGCGACTAGAAAATATTTTAAAAGCTTCACCGATTTTTAAAACTACTATTCCCGAGAGCCCCGATAAAATAACCGCACAGTGGGCATTTTTCTATAGAGCAGACGGACATATGCTGTAGGAGTGGTATGAAAGCCTATAAACACGTTCTTCTATAGGTTTTCGAATATGCTCTTTCTAATGATGAGATTTTCAGTACTCAAAAGTAATTCCTTGTGGGTTGTCTGGACGCCGAATCTCTGGAAAACCCATAAAAAATATTTTTGCATTTTGAGAACCTCACTATTCGAAAGATCATATTCC